TAAATAAAAAAACTGTCTGTTTGAAGTAGAGAAAAAAAAAAAAAAACACAGTTTTTAGAATACTTTATTACGTGAGTGTTTAGTAAAAACCAAAAACAAAACAAAACAAAAAAAAAAAAGTAGAAGGAGAAGGAGAAGGAAATAACAGCAACATCAACTTGTAAGACATTTAACCTTTTACACAAGCAGCAGCTATAGCAACAACCAATGCAGGTATGCAATAATTTACAGAAGCAATCAGAAACTAACTACCAACAGCAATCCATTCACTAAAGTTGCTTTTAAGATTCCAACAGCAACAATATAACAACAATAACCGAATAATAAAAACACTTAACAATTGCTAAAACTCATACATACATACTTCGTTGGCATCTTCAGTTCGGCTCAGTTCAATTCATCTGCAATAGCGTTCTGTTATAGTAAGCCGTTAAGACAATTTGAAAGTTTTCAAGTTTTATATCAGTCGTTCGGACTGCGGTTTATTTGCCGAGCACCCGAGTCTTTGTAGCGTTAGAGAAAAACGTTCATCTACACATACTCTCACACAAGAGCTGTTAGCTTAGCGGTAGATAGTGTTAGCTACTAGCTGACTATTTAACTGACTGAACGGTCGATCGCTTAGCTCGCTTACCTGGTAGAATAAATGTGCCTGCTTGTGGTGGTTAACTGCAATTATTTCGTATTTGGCCAAAGAGTTAAAAGCAAAAATAAACAGTTAAGTCATTAAATACGGCATTAGTCGAACCTCCGGATACCTAGTCTTTATACGAAAATTAAATTAATTACGAGTTATGTTGAAACTCGTAAAGCAAAGCATGCAACATACTGGCTGGCAATATGAGTAAAAAGGATGTGATAAAGTAAATACACAAAGATCAATTTAAGTTTATTCGCTTCAGTCCATATCGTGTCAACATGATATTCATAACGGGGGCAAATTTTTCGTATATCGATCTATCTTTCCATCTGCCTGCGGGTTTCCGAAACGTTTAAATTCTCCTTAAACTGCAAGGAAAACGAAAGTTTAAAGACCACATTTACAAAAACGGTTTACATCGTTCTTTGGCGAATCGCGCCCCATAAATTCTATTCTTCAGTTAAATATAAATCATCGGTTAACCAATAAGAAAAACTATAGTTATTTCAATACACGTCGAGAGTGAAATAATCCATAAATTCGTGGCGGTCACATGGTCTGAAAAGGTTACGAATGTAATATCGATTTGAATACACCTTTGATAAAAGAATCGATACATGTATATATTAAATATATATGTGGCATCAAGAAAACGGATGTTAGATTATAAAAAAAAATTTTTCCATTTCTTGTCTAATGCTAATAATAACGATAGCACGAAGGGCAAAGCTGCTGTCATAACTAAAGATTTCTTCTTCATTTTTTTTTTTTTTTTAATAGTTTAAACATCCTGTGGAATTACAAACACATAATAGTAAGAAACGAAATGAAAAAAAAAAAAAAATACACAAAAAAAAAAAGCATAGAGACAGGGAGAAAGACCAAAGCATTTGTTTGTGTATTCCATAATAACTGTGTATTTGTTAATGTAATAGTCAGTTAACCGGCAGTCGCCAAGCAACGAAGCAGTGAGGCAGGCAAGCAGCCAGGCAAGTGCATACGCCACATAAACTAAATGTCGAGTCGAACAATTACTGTACATTTTCATTCGTTTCATTGTACACCTGATCTCACTCTCGTGTTACCTTTTAGCGGTATTCTGATGGCGGTCTTTTTAAGATGAAAAGCTATTTAGACTCTAGAGGGAATTTTTCAGGCATTTTCGTTTTCCTTTTTTTTTTTTTTTTTTGTTTTTCTTTATTTTCCAGCGGTTTGCATGTGAATGACATCGTTTTATGTTCTCTTTAAAATTGACTGTAAAACAGTTAAAAATTTCTTCTGTTTTTTTTTTTTTGTTTTCTTTTTGAGAAATGATGGCAGAAAATAAGAGCGTATAACTGTATTATAATAATAGGTAAAGTGGGTGTTTTCATGCACAATGACGGCAAGAGAAAAACAACAAAAAAAAAAAATAAATAAATAAAACGAAATGCTTGTTAGAGTTTATACACGTTTGGCATTTATTTCTTTTGTTATTTCAACTTGAACTTGTTTTGTTTATAGACATTTTCTTAAAGCCGCATTCGAAATAATATGGCAAGCAGGAAAAATATAAAAAATAATATATGGCGGATAGCCGCGGCAATTATTATTAAAAAAAATTTAATGCAACGAGCCGACAGATTGAAAGAGAAACTGACAAACAACCACAAACTGTTGAAAATATAAAGTAATTGATTTGAAAGGAATTTTACTGAAAGGCACATAGTAAACTAATCGCATAACACACGCATGGAAATCAGTTAATCATATATTTTCAACTGGAGGATGTTGAATTTCCTTCTGTTTCCCAGACAGACAGCCGAAAGAATCGCCTCCGCAATCACGTTACTCTTAGGGTATACTCACGGAAACTATTTAAATATACAGAAGCTACAGTAAAAAGCTTAGCATTACTGCGTGACTTTCTAAGTAGATAGTATAGCAGTCAGCCATGTATATGGTTTCGATTAAACTCATCGAGATTTTTAATTGCCTTAGCAGATGGATGTCCATCTGTGTCCCTTCTTAGAATCTTCCAGAGGAAAATTACTTTTTGTGGAGATTTTGGGTTACACTTTAGCTTCATCTCATTATCATCCACGGATTACGCCCGTAATGTTTGACAGCAATTAATTTGTGCAATATTTTGGAATGGATCGAAAGTACATATATAAACAATACATACATAAATAGTACATATATAAATAGTGCTTATATATACATAAAGGCAAGCGATCAATGCGGAAACTGATTCAAAATTGTGTGCAACAGGGCATAGTTGAAGTTGAGAACACACGCGAAGTTTAAAAAAAAATTCTTGAAACCACTTTAACCAATCCTCCCTTTCCTTACGGAACGCTTGAAATCAAACTTTGAAAAAGTGAATACAGAATCCCCGTTTCATTCAGGGTAAGTGCACTTTGTGAGGTCGAGTCTTGCATGATATTCCATAACTAGTCGTTACGTTCTATCTTATGTAGTTATTGGTATATGGGCTATAAAAACTATTCGCGTTGAATGCATGAAATTCTGCTGCAGGTGTAAGAAATTTCTCTGACAGACAACCCATACCATGAACATTAGCACCTGCATAAACATTTATGGCCGAAACAATTCCATAAATTATTAACTTATCCGCTTTTGCAAGTGATCGATATAAGAAAATTTGTTTGTTGGGTTATTTGAAAATTGTATTTTATGTATTTTACTTTTGAAATCCTTTAACAATACC